GGGTGGGGGTGGGGGGGGAAGGGGGCAGGGCAAATCATTTATGGAAGTCAAGAGGAATTATGATTTTTTTTAATCTATTTTTTTTAATGTCACTTTGTGGTTTTCTTTCATTTGGGCCTTTTAAAAGAGCTACCTAAATTCTCATGAAAGTTACACAAATGGATACTTTTGATTTTAGTGTTGTATTTTAAATGATTCTAAAATGGAAAGGTTCCCTAAAGCAAAAAAAAACTAATAATATCCATAAAAGAAAATAGTGTGAATTTAAATAAACAATTGTTTCTGTCTGTCTTCTGCAAAATTCAGAACTATAATACTGAATCATAGTTCACTGAACCAAAAATAACCTAATTTTTGTATAACTTGCCTAAGGCTGTAGTTTCAAAATGAAAAAAGGAAAAAAAAAAAAAGCAAAAAGAAAAGCTGTATCTCTCGTCTAGTACCTGTGATTAGGGACAAAAGGCTTCTTATGCATTACCCTCATTAATTTCCTCTCCTTCTTTGTCCTCCTCTACCCCATTTTTTCCCAGAGGCCTTATCTGAAAAATAGATTTTAGAGAAAAATGTTTGATCCTTGTTAAGAACGTTATGTTCTTGACATCAGTGATGAATAGACCAGCAGGAAAAAACCCAGACTTATTGTAGCTCCCCTTAGCAGCCTGCTTGACTTTGTCTCAGGGGAAGCCACAAATTGTTTCTATTCTGTCTTTCCATCAGTGTCCAAAGGAGAGAGCAGTCTCATTTTCTGCAGGGATTTTCATAAACTAGATGCTGCTTGCTCAAGGGATCCAGTGATTCCTCTCATCATCCAGCAGACTTTTACCACATCCTTTCCTGAACCAAAACTCCTCCTCTGAGATCAGTTATTACATCCTCTGCAAGATGAACGTGAATGTTATGTACCACCACAAACTTCATAAAGCCATGCTTTATGCATGGACACACTATCTGGCACAGAGTTTATTCTTTTTGAGACTTTAGAAACATGTTCCATAGTTCCGTAATATATATGTGAAGTACAATCTGTCACGATGAGTTTATTTGCTCTTGGTCATTCCTGTTCTCTGTAAAAATAAGATTTTCAAAAGAATATCAAATTATTGAAAATAAAATGTTCACCCACAGAGGATATTAGATCAGAGGGGGTTGGCAGAAGAAGCTTTTGAGTTTAGTTTTGAAGTCATTGTTATTCAGCAAAGTGCTTGTACAAATTCTTCATTTTATATATATTCTTTTTATTCCTTCTATTTGGGAAAGCTCTTAGGAATGTGCTTGATTTTAAGCTGTGCTCAGTAAAATTCATGTATGTTTAGAAGCTATGCAGAAGAAGAATGTAAATCACAGGGTAGGAGAAGGAAGGGGAAAATGATAAACGGTAGTAAAACAAAAAAGAGGACAAAATATGAGATAACTTTTCTTTTCTAATGACTTTTCATCAAGAATTGGGTTAAAGTAGTATTATTTCTTTTAATCCATGATGATACTTTAAAGAAATATTTCTTCCTGGGAAACCTTTCCACTTTAAGAGACAAATTGTATAATACATAATTATGCATTGCTTTTATTACTTTCTGCTGAACATCATAATTTGGGGTTTTTTTGGTGACAACTAGCCAAGTACTTGCTGTGAGAATTGAAGAGTTCTGTTAAGCTTGCTCTTGTTTGCAGACTTCTTTATATTTCCTTAGTAGCATGAATTGACCTTGACCATGACGTTGCTTGTTCATCCCAGAGCTACCCTGGTTACTGTGAGAGTTGTGATAGAGTTTTGCTGGCATGTCAGCCAGAGTCTAAATTAGGGCCCTAACTCACTGAATATAGGTTATCAAGCAATTGTGTAATGTGTGATAACAAATTATTTCCTTGGTTTACTATTGACTTGAGTTCAGTTTGCACCTGAATAAGAGCTTTGTGGAAATGAGCCAAAAGCCACTGTATTCGGCAAGCAGCCTTTTACTGACACTAGTGGACTTTCTAGCTGACCTTGGGGGATCATTATTAACACCCTAAACCTTGTGAAAGTGGTGTCTCTTCAGTAGTAATTGTCAGGGATCTTCTACACTTCATTCTGCTATTCTGTTTTCTATATGCAGTGTCTAGTTGGCTTCACTTTCATATTTGGCAGAGCAAACAACTTAAAAACATGTTCCCCTTTGCTTTCACTGTTTTTGAAAGGATTTTTCATCTTATGTGACTTTTCGTCTCTGAGTACTTTAAGTCTAATATTGGTCTCACAACCCACGCTGTTCCTCCCACCTACCTACCTACTATTGCTCATGCACCTACTCTTCTAAGAAAGGATTTTCATTATTGCCAATGTTTCTTTTTATAAAAGGAATAATTTCTGAACAGCACAACTGTGTCATATCTTCTTTATGTAATACAAATTTATTTTCCTGGTTTTGCTGAGGTATTTTTCTTGCTACACCTTACAATCTCCTTCCTACAACATTACTCCCATGCCATGGTTTCCACGTGGTTACACACATGTGTCAAATGCTGTGATACCATTCTGAAAAAAGCACAGCTTGTTGTGATTTTGAAATGCACACCTCCACTGCTTCACTTTCATTATTCTACCAGGAAGTAAGCAGCTTTTTCTCTCTGTCTTTGCTGTCAGTCTCCTCTTGGTGTTTAGTCTTTCACAGTCCAGATAAACTGATCCAGCTGAAAAAAAAATGTGGTGTTTTCTTGCCCATTCCCAAAAAGTGGCAAAAGTTTATCTTGCACTTATAAGCAGATGGAAAATAGACTGGTTAGCTAACTTCTAAAGAAGGTGCAGGCAACAGATAACTGACATTTCTATTACAGCTGAGCTTGATTCACGACGTATTCCTTCACTATCTGTATGTTCCCTGGTTATGTTTAGCCTGATTTTCATTGGGGAAAAAAGTATGCAATTACATTGCCTGTCCACACACCAGCATGTCACCTTCACCTCCCAGTAACTTTTGAACTTGTTGGCCAGCTTTAACCAAGTTTGCTAGAGAGAATGAAGTCTGAAAGATAGGAAGTTCCAGCAAACTTTATGAAGATCTGTAGCTGCATAAGGGGGAGAAGGATCTGCAGCCATCCCTTACAGTCTCTTGAAGTGGGCGAAGTAGCTGGTGAGTCAGCACAAGATACTACTTGATGGCAGCATTTTCCCAGCCTGAAAGATGACGAATGTGGAAGGGACTGAAAAACTCTGTGGAGGACAAGAGGTCTAAGATGGATCCTGTTACCATAGCTTTTCTACTTCATTCTGTCCCTTTCCTTTTCTCCACTGCATCCACACTCACTGCTTAAAATACAGGTTCAGCTTATGCTTCCTAACTCAATATTGCTGCTACTTTGGGGACTCAGCCACTTCAGTCTTCTGCAGTTCTATTTTTATTTTTCCTAAAATATTACAGTACTGAAGTACAGTATTCCATTTGTGGACATTTTACATGGATTTTTGGGTTATATACAGTTGCAGAATTGTTCCTTTAAACTCATTTTTGATTATACAAACTTTTTTTGGAGACAAATTGTACTCTCTGATCACCGGTGTATTGACAGTTTCAATTACCTTGATACTTTGGAGATGCATTTGTGGAATTCATGTAAAAAGGAGAGAAGCAAGAACAGAAATTAGCTTTTTCTTTCAAAAGCATTATTTTCAAGGCATTTTTATCATAGCTGCATGTATTCCTGTGATATATTGCCTAGATGAGTAATACTTGCAATAAAGCAAGCAATTCCTAACTTTATCAGAGATATTCCAGAAATAATATCTCAAAATATGTGCATGTTACTTGTGTACACCCAGGCTTATATATTATATGTGCTAACAGAAATAGCATAGTATTTTCTACTTGTATATTTATGTTAATCTAAAGATAATATCGTTTTGAAACCTCTATACCATTCTTATTCTATAAAATCACAGTGAATAATCAAGCTCAATTAAGTGGCAGAATCTGGTAGCAAACTTAATAACAGTGACAAAAGCAAGAAGAGATAGATCTGACTTATCTGTCCCGAATTCCAACTTCCCATTACCTGTCTGAGAATTGATCAGGTCATTTCCTGGAGGGCAAGCCTTCAAGCTAGGGTCAACCTATATTACAAATCGAAGTTAGACAGAGTTGCAGGACCAGCTGTGGTAGGATGACTTGCCAAAAAAAATCCAACTACCTCATTGTTGCATAGTATGATTCGGATAGAAATCCCCTAATCCTTGCAAAAGTCAAAGAAATTATGATTGAAATATTTTTTTTAATCTGCAGAGCTCCCAAACAGTTTTGTCTGGTGGTAACTTGTGGTGATCAGAAGAAAAGTGGTATGCACTCATGGGCACATCCGTATAGACTGTTGGGAAGGTAAAGTGCATTATCTGCAATGAGTGAATTAATCATAAAATCATAGAATCATGGAATAGTTTGGGT